CCATCCCGTCACCGGGATGCCTCTTGTCGTTAAAGTGAGGTCAATGTTGGACGCAACGTTCTCAGTGGCAAAGGTCGAAGGCTCTCCTTCCCTGTTCGCCAACTGCAGGCCCCGGGCCAGGATAAACGCCTCCATGGACTCACGGCGGTGCGAGACGTCTGGCCACGTCCCGTATACTGCCGCGGTTCGCAGTACCACATTGGAGAGTGCGCGTTGGAGTCTACCCCAACGACGACCCTCTTCCCCTTCAGGGAATCCAGGACTCTGCCCAACTGCTCCAAGTGCCCATTTATGTCATCGCTGTATTGAAAATACGCGGACACCACGTAAATTCCCCCTTCGTCGGTGAGCAAATGACACACTGTACAGTGTGTAGTCGACAGATGGTGTAAGAGGGCACATGGGAGGTCCCGACGACGGACATAAACGCACGCTCTGGGTCGTTCGCCGCACTGCAGTACACTGCTCGCGGCACTCCAACTTGGGTTAGGATAATGTTCCTGAGCCAGAACGACGTCTAGGTCCAATTCCTCTGCTACCTGGGGTAGCTCCGCTGTGGCAAGCTCTGCTCCCGCCAAATTTATTTGGCCGACTGTATACTTTGCCGTTGGAGCCATTAGTAGGCCGTAGATTCCGCCATTCGCCTCCCTGCGTGCACCGTGATGTGGGTTGCCGCACCTTTCTGCCCGAAGCGATGGCAGGTTGCACACCGCTCGATCTCTGCTTTGCAGTCCACCGCCTTGTGGCCTGCAATACCGCACCTTGAGCACGTCGCCCCGTCCTGGTGACACTTCTTCTCGTTGTGCCCATACGTACAGCACTTATTGCACAACATCGCTGTGGTGAAGTCCTCCACCCTGCACACTTCCCACTCAATATACAGTCGGCCTTTTGTCACGAGTGCCTTCCGCAGCTTCGCGCTGCACGCCAGTACCATGGAGGATTTCGTGCCTCCAATCCGGCTCTTCCTAAACGCCAATTTGCACTCCGACAGCATTTTTTCGCAGGTCCACTCTTTGTCCTCTTCGAAATTTTGCCGATGAACCATTTTAATCGTCGCCTCCACATCCGGATCCTTTCCATCTAGGTCCCTGATAACGACGTGGAGTGTCGTGACGTCGTGACGTGGAGTGAGTGAGTGGACGTGGGGCGCGTCCTTTCAGGTCATTAGCCTTTAAAGTGCTCGGTAGCGCCGCCTTGAGTCGAGACAGATCTTGCACTGTCCTGGTCTGCACCACCACTCCTGCCTTGCCTGCGTGCACCGTGATGTGGGTTGCCGCACCTTTCTGCCCGAAGCGATGGCAGGTTGCACACCGCTCGATCTCTGCTTTGCAGTCCACCGCCTTGTGGCCTGCAATACCGCACCTTGAGCACGTCGCCCCGTCCTGGTGACACTTCTTCTCGTTGTGCCCATACGTACAGCACTTATTGCACAACATCGCTGTGGTGAAGTCCTCCACCCTGCACACTTCCCACTCAATATACAGTCGGCCTTTTGTCACGAGTGCCTTCCGCAGCTTCGCGCTGCACGCCAGTACCATGGAGGATTTCGTGCCTCCAATCCGGCTCTTCCTAAACGCCAATTTGCACTCCGACAGCATTTTTTCGCAGGTCCACTCTTTGTCCTCTTCGAAATTTTGCCGATGAACCATTTTAATCGTCGCCTCCACATCCGGATCCTTTCCATCTAGGTCCCTGATAACGACGTGGAGTGTCGTGACGTCGTGACGTGGAGTGAGTGAGTGGACGTGGGGCGCGTCCTTTCAGGTCATTAGCCTTTAAAGTGCTCGGTAGCGCCGCCTTGAGTCGAGACAGATCTTGCACTGTCCTGGTCTGCACCACCACTCCTGCCTTGCCTACCCTTCGGACCCTGTCTACTTGAATGTTAAGTCGGGCGGGGGCGATAGAGGTCTTCAACATCGCCTTGGTCTCTTCCGAGGACTTTGTAATGGGTTTTTCCCGGCTACGGATAATTTGAAACAGTCGGCTAGAATTTGAGAAGTTAACAGGGAGCGGGTTGTATTAAAACCGTGCCTGGAGTACTGTGTGCAAAACTTATATATGAGGCGCCATGCACACAGTAGCAAACGATTTCAGATGGAATAAAAATGTCCACACATTAAATGTTCACCTCCATTTATTCAATTGTCACATATTTAATGCAGTTTACATAACCAAGAATGTTAATTTAAATTCAGCATATAAGTTAAATTTCTACCCTTAAATGAGCCTACAAAATGGGTTAGTATTACCCGGTTAATCAGTCTGAGCTGTCCATGCGGTATCAAATCATCAACGGGCGGTCTGGTCACACGTGTCACATCCCCTGGATGATGGTATTTGTAAGGCAATGGGCAGCTTCCACACCCCGGGTACACAGGCAATAGTCCTGGCTGGAGTCCACGTATCTATGTCCTCGTGGCTCGAAGCATCTTTAGGTTGCTGAGATTGTGGATTTTAGGTCATCGCGGAGTGAACATTTAAAATAGAAATAAAAGGGCCTAAGCTAGGCTTAACCTAAAGAACCCTGAAACAAAAGAACCTTGTCAAGCGCACGAAATATTAAAGCAGAATACGAGTTCCCTCGCCTGAAGTTCCAACTTACCATGTGGTTATCATGGGTTCAAATTTTATGCCCATTCTGTTGATGGGAGTTGTGGCATATTATGATGCTCTGCCGGAGCGAAGTGCAACCAAAAAAAACTTATTTGTTGTAGAAAATTCCCTCACATCCTTCCTGGTCTGAGGCTTGTCGTAGAAAAGAAAGATGATTTTTCGTGCGGTGACACAACTATTCGCATACCGAATACCTCGAGACATAAGTCATCGGTACGCGGAATCGAATCAATCGATTTAATGAAAAAATACCATTACAAACTAAATGTTAATTGTAGAATTAACATTTTTCCACAAGGAGCGAAACGAATATATTCACTTTATTTTTAGGGATGAATTCCCTGAAAGAAACTATCAAAACTGAAAATTATATACTAATCGATCAGCTATCGATACCAATTAATACGATCTACAGATTCCGAACTAACAAACATGTCATCCCTATTACATCACAGATGCAAAAACCATTGTTCCTTTCATATAACGCTGGCGAAAGTCAAGACTACTCTGTATTATACAGCCTAAACAATTGATAAATTTATTATTTTTATATTAGTATTGAATAGTTGGTTGGCTGTATTAATTTTATGATCAATTTAATGTTAAACAAAGATTATAAGTCAAAGAAATGAAATTTATTCATAATTTAATAATCATGGACATGCGTTGCGATTCTGTAACTATTTATGTGAAGGAAAGTTTAAAGTTCGGATTTCTGAACGCAATTTAAAGTGACATTGGGGTTGACATTTGAGGTTATCAACCCTTCTGTTTATTATTGTTTACCAATGATTTGATTTTACACTCAAATTAGCTCATTGATACAAAAAAAAAGTGTTACAACTTCAATTCCGAAACCTCTGCCGGATATACTGCCATCACAGGCCCAGCCGGCGGACTCCTACGGGCTCATCCGCGTATGTGGCTCCTGCCACAGCCCCAGTGTACGTCTGGCTGCTTGTTGTGGCCTCCTCTGCCCTTCTGTGGGCGGCCTGTAAAGACCCTCTCCATTGTTTCCCCCACATCTGGGTCTTTCCCTTCCAAGTCTCTAATTACAACTAGAGGCGCCCGACCCTTCAAATCGTTCGCCTTAAGTGAGCTCGGGAGAGCCGCCTTAAGCTTGATCAAGTCCTCCTTGGTACGGGTCTGCACCACCACACCCGCGTTCCCAACCCTCCGTACTCTGTCCACCTGTATGTTAAGCTTAGCGGGAGCTATTGAGGTCTTCAATATAGATTTTGTCTCCTCCGAGGACTTCAAGTCACTGCCATCTGCCGGATATACGGCCACGACAGGGCCAGCAGGTGGTCCCCTGCGCAACCTATCAGCATATGTGCCCGGGATCCCAGATTGGTTGGACGACGACACCACCTCCGCCGCACGTGCACGGGCCGCCTCTGCCTCTGCCTCCGCTTTAGCGGCGCGCTCCTGCTCCCTCAGGTACGCCACGTCCAGTGTTGCCGCCCTGACTTTTGCCGAGTTTATGCGGCCCTTGTCCTCCTCAGCGATGAGACCTAGGTGGCCGACAATCTCCATTATGACGGATAGCTCATTATTAATGGTAGCCATATCAGTCCTGTTTATTTTATTGGACGCCCCAGCAACTCCGGATATCGTACGCGCCGCCGCGTTGGCCTTCGCTAATAGTTGGCGCAACGTAGAACGTGCAAGGTCCACGTTCACGTCCTCAGGGTCACCCTCGGACGTGTAAGGCGACACAAACTTCGTTTCTGGCGTAGCAGCTTCCAGTAAAAGCCCAGCCGCACTGCCCGCCTGCTGCGCCGAGCCCAACTTCCTCAGCGTACGTTTTTTCGGACGCCCCTCGGTAATTGCTGCGTCCGGAGACAGCAGCCGCTTGGCACTCTCCCTGGCAGTCCTCGCCTCCGCTACCGCCGCTGGAGACGCTCGTCCCTGTTGGCCCGGCGGCGTGGTCCTAGGCGACAGCGTCGCCACCACCGCCCGGTACACCGCCGAAGCTACACCTGTGACGTCAGCCGCCGCATGTTCCAACCCCGGCATCGGCGCCGCCGAACGCCCTGGCGGAGTCCGCAACAAGGACTTCCTTGGTCGAAATATCTCCATAGGTGGAGGGTCTCCCTCCTCCGACGAGCTCATTTTCGCCCGAAATCGTTTCTAAAGTTTTAAGACTGGCAACACTTCACTAAAATCCTGAGTGAAACGGAGCGTACCCCTGACAGTGACAGCCGTCAAACCGACAGCTGTCAGCCACAGACACACAGTTGTCACTCTGACAGACGTCACCTGTCACACCAGATTAAATAATAAATCTACCTACAAAGAAACCTACAAAGAAAGAAAAGAGTTCTCGTCCTACCTTTAGTAAGGCATAAAAATTAAATAGGGGGGTAGTTGACCGCGTGGTCCTAACCTAAAAAGCACGTGGTAATAACCACGTGCTGCCTAACCTACAATTTAACAGCTAATTAACTTAAAATAACACTAAAATCTATTAAAAGTCACTGTCTTTACTTACTAACTACTTAATTAAAGGGTGTACTTCCCTGTGTGTCCCGAATTGCGCCTCCAGGCGCAGGAAAACAAGCACCTCTGGGAGCACACACTGAAATCCAGTCTTCCAATCACTTAACACTATGAAAAACAGCACAAAATACTTAATAATCGTCCTGTCGTAAAAATCTTATTATACACACTATATAACTGCACGATAAAAATAACCTTTCAGGCACTGAAAGCGACTCTGAAACTGGTTACAAAATTCAGTACGCGGAGCACTTCGTAAACGGTGCGCACACGACGGCGGTCCGCGACGAAGTCAGTCGAAGGGACAAATCCCACCAACCACCCATGGCCTGGCGAACCTTCTTGGTTATGCAGGCCGAAGCAGCGGGAGATACGCGCGGAATGGCCTCCACCGCGCGTACTTTCTTGACTCCCTACAAATTATTCTTTTCTATGTCCTTGTCCCTAAGGTCCCTCTCCCCTTTCTGGGGCGGACGAACACGAAACGCCTTCGTCGCCATCCCAGCCGTCCCGTGCCCACTATGTAGTGGTACCGCTAGCCTCCATTTACTATACCTCCAATAGTGCTCCCTGTCTTCTTTCTTCACCTCCCTCGAGTCCACTCCGAATCCTGTGCCATCTACGCGCGAAATCCCGTAGCTGCCTGAAGTTCGCCTCCGATTCCACAAGGTCGCGATAGTAGATCGGCCCAACCTCGAGCACCTTCACACTGTTAAGAAGTTCGTTAAGCTTACACTCCCACAGAGCATGGTATGCGTCCTCTACCACTCCCTCCCCACAGTAGCACGACCCCACCTCCGCGAGCTTCATTCTGTGAAGCCTACCCCTGAAACAGCCGTGTCCCGTCAGCAGTTGCGAGGTTTCGTAGTCAGGCTCGACCCAAGTGAACTTGAGTCGGGCCTCCACTTCCGGGAAGAACCGATATAGTTCCCTCCCCTGTTCCGACGTGTCCCAACGTCTCTGCCATTCAGCATTGACGGACTCAGTGATCCTGAGTTTGGCGCTCCGAAGCTCCTCAATGGTATCCGCGGACTCGCGTGCATCACCTAGTCTGCCTGCCCGAGTTACCTCGAGGTCGGCCGGTAAAACACCAGCCAAGACCGGCAAAGCGACAGAGCTCGTCGACCGGTACGCCTTGGTCAGAAGGATCAAGGCGGGTCTCTGGGTGCGCAAAAGCGCACTACGCACAACGTGAAGGGACGCGCGTTCGTACCAACATGCTGCAGCATACGTCACAACCTTTAAGGCCTTGTACCGAACTCCCCAAGAAGCCGCCGATACTCTCGACATTTTGCCGAAGCAATTTGCCGCCCTCTCCCCTATCGACGCCGCATGCTGCGCGAACGAGAGGTATATTACCCTAGCGTAACAATTTCATAAGTCCATATCCTAAGGTATATAGTATTTTGATGCTAATTTGTTGCTATTTTGTGCCGCAAGAATTGATTTTGTTGCTCCATGATTTCTCGGAAAAACGCCAGTTACGCTAGCGTAATATTACGCTAGCGAAACCACAGCGATAACTCGGAGGCAAAAGCAGTTAGAGAGATCAGATGAACGGCATATTTTGTTGCTATTTTGTTGCTGTAAGATAAGCTATTTAGATATGAAAAAAATCCCCCTCCTTCATGGGGGGCTAACTACCCTTATTCTTAGATATTTCAGATTTTTCATATCTCGTGAACTAAAGCAGCTAGCGGCACGAGACAAACGGCGTATTTTGTTGCTTTAAGGTAGGCATGCTGCGTACATCATAATCACAACCCTTATCCGGGTATGACCAACCCCCGACCCCAAGACACCAGATATTTCGTATCTCGTGAGCTAAAGCAGCTAGCGACCCGAGACCAACGGCGTATTTTGTTGCTATTTTGTAGCTATAAGATAGGCATGCTGCGTACATCATAATCACAACCCTTATCGGGGTATGACCAACCCCCGACTCCAAGACACCAGATATTTCGTATCTCGTGAGCTAAAGCAGCTAGCGACCCGAGACCAACGGCGTATTTTGTTGCTATTTTGTAGCTATAAGATAGGCATGCTGCGTACATCATAATCACAACCCTTATCGGGGTATGACCAACCCCCGACCCCGAAGACACCAGATATTTCGTATCTCGTGAGCTCAAGCAGCTAGCGACCCGAGGCCAACGGCGTATTTTGTTGCTTTAAGATAGGCATGCTGCGTACATCATAATTACAACCCTTATCGGGGTATGACCAACCCCCGACCCCAAGACACCAGATATTTCGTATCTCTTGAGCTAAAGCAGCTAGCGACCCGAGATCAACGGCGTATTTTGTTGCTATTTTGTAGCTATAAGATAGGCATGCTGCGTACATCATAATCACAACCCTTATCGGGGTATGACCAACCCCCGACCCCAAGACACCAGATATTTCGTATCTCTTGAGCTAAAGCAGCTAGCGACCCGAGATCAACGGCGTATTTTGTTGCTATTTTGTAGCTATAAGATAGGCATGCTGCGTACATCATAATCACAACCCGTATCGGGGTATGACCAACCCCCGACCCTGAAGACACCAGATATTTCGTATCTCGTGAGCTAAAGCAGCTAGCGACCCGAGACCAACGGCGTATTTTGTTGCTATTTTGTAGCTATAAGATAGGCATGCTGCGTACATCATAATCACAACCCTTATCGGGGTATGATCAACCCCCGACCCCAAGACACCAGAATACGCCGTTGGTCTCGGGTCGCTAGCTGCTTTAGCTCACGAGATACGAAATATCTGAGATATCTAAGAATAAGGGTAGTTAGCCTCTCATGAAGGGATGATATTTTTTCATATCTAACCAGCTTATCTTACAGCAACAAAATAGCAACAAAATACGCCGTTTGTCTCGTGCCGCTAGCTGCTTTAGTTCACGAGATACGAAATATCTGGTGTCTTCAGGGTCGGGGGTAGGTCATAGCCCGATAAGGGTTGTGATTATGATGTACGCAGCATGCCTATCTTATAGCTACAAAATAGCAACAAAATACGCCGTTGGTCTCGGGTCGCTAGCTGCTTTAGCTCACGAGATACGAAATATCTGTGATATCTAAGAATAAGGGTAGTTAGCCTCTCATGAAGGGCTGATATTTTTTCATATCTAACCAGCTTATCTTACAGCAACAAAAAACGGCGTTTGTCTCGTGCCGCTAGCTGCTTTAGTTCACGAGATACGAAATATCTGGTGTCTTCAGGGTAGGGGGTAGGTCATAGCCCGATAAGGGTTGTGATTATGATGTACGCAGCATGCCTATCTTATAGCTACAAAATAGCAACAAAATACGCTGTTGGTATCGGGTCGCTAGCTGCTTTAGCTCACGAGATACGAAATATCTGGTGTCTTCAGGGTCGGGGGTTGGTCCTACCCCGATAAGGGTTGTGATTATGATGTACGCAGCATGCCTATCTTATAGCTACAAAATAGCAACAAAATACGCCGTTGGTCTCGGGTCGCTAGCTGCTTTAGCTCACGAGATACGAAATATCTGAGATATCTAAGAATAAGGGTAGTTAGCCTCTCATGAAGGGCTAATATTTTTTTCATATCTAACCAGCTTATCTTACAGCAACAAAATACGCCGTTTGTCTCGTGCCGCTAGCTGCTTTAGTTCACGAGATACGAAATATCTAAGAATAAGGGTAGTTAGCCCCCCATGAAGGGGGGGATTTTTTTCATATCTAACCAGCTTATCTCACAGCAACAAAATAGCAACAAAATACGGCGTTTGTCTCGTGCCGCTAGCTGCTTTAGTTCACAAGATACGAAAAATCTGAAATATCTAAGAATAAGGGTAGTTAGCCCCCCATAAAGGGGGGGAATTTTTCCATATCTAACCAGGTTATCTTACAGCAACAAAATATGCCGTTTATCTGATCTCTCTAACTGCTTTTGCCTCCGAGTTATCGCTGTGGTTTCGCTAGCGTAATATTACTCTAGCGTAACTGGCGTTTTTCGGAGAAATCATGGAGCAACAAAATCAATTCTTGCGGCACAAAATAGCAACAAATTAGCAACAAAATACTATATACCTTATATAACAAAATACTATAGACTTATGAAATTGTTACGCTAGGGTAATATACCTGCGAACGAGAGACTCGAGTCGACCGCCACACCCAACACAGTGGCCGACGTCACGCTCCTGATGGAAGTCCCCCCGAAGCGGATGGTGGGTGGCCGCTGGAATTTTCCCCTGATCGTCATAGTTGCAGACTTTGCAGGAGAAAAGTCCAGCCTATTACGGGCCCCCCACTCACCGACGAGCTGTAGAACCGTAGAGGCCGTGGCCTCTATGCTCGCCCGGGGTCCGGATTCAATCAGGATCGTGACGTCGTCGGCGTACGCCACCATGCTTACCCCCCCCGGGTAGTGGCAGTCGAAGCAAGTCGTCCATAAGCACGTTCCAGAGCGTAGGTCCCAACACCGATCCCTGCGGGCAACCCATCGTTGCCGCCTTCCACACTACCCGATCACCCACGAACAAGCCCACACGGCGATTGACGAAGTAATCCGCCAACATCCTAAAGATGTTAGGCGGACATCCCCCGCGTTTCACCTTGAGCAAGATCATGGGCCACCAAGCATTATCAAAGGCCCCAGAAATATCCAGAAATACCGCCTGAACATACTTCGACGAACTCTCTCTGGCCACCCTAAAGATTTCCTTCAGGGCAGTCACCGTCGACCGTCCTCGAGTGAACCCGTGCTGGCAGTCCGATAACCCCCTGGTAATTTGCGGTGCACACCGTAACATTACTCGTTCTAAAATTTTACCAAAGATCGGCAACAAAGTGACGGGGCGATACGCTTTTGGGTCGGAAAGCTGCCTGTCATTCCCTTTCGGGAGGACAATCAGCCTGCCGTCCTTCCACGTATCAGGAAATCATCCCTCCTGGACACATCGCCTATACACTTCTGTAAATTCCCGCCACACCGCGATCCCTGAGTCTCGGAAGCTCTTCTAGCAGCCCAGCGCGTGGAGTGCTCGTACTTGCCAGTTCAAATGTTACGAGACGGTGGTCGCTCTCGGTCTTATCCTCCCACACTCTCCATCCCGTTGCCGGGACGCCTCTTGTAGTTAAAGTGAGGTCGATGTTGGACGTTCCGTTCGCAGTAGCAAAGGTCGAAGGTTCACCTTCCCTATTAACCAACTGCAGGCCCCGAGCCAGGATAAACGCCTCCATGGATTCACGGCGGTACGTGACGTCTGGCCCACGTCCGGTGTACTGCCGCGGTTCGCAATACCACATCGGAGAGTGCGCATTGGAATCTACCCCTATAACGACCTTCTTCCCCTTCAAGGAATCCAGGACTCTGCCTAACTGCTCCAAATGCATATTTATGTCGTCGCTGTATTGAAAATACGCGGACACCACGTAGATTCCCTCTTTGTCAGTGAGTAAATGACACACAGTACAGTGCGTGGTTGACAGATGTTGCAAGAGGGCACATGGGAGGTCCCGACGACGGACATAAACGCCTGATTTCGGTCGTTCGCCGCACTGCAGGAAACTGCTCGCAGCGTCCCAAAAGGGTCCAGGGTAATGCTCCTGAACCAGAACGACGTCTAGACCCATTTCCTCAGCAACCCTAGGTAGTTCCAATGTGGCAAGCTCTCCCCCCGCCAGATTTATCTGGCCGACTGTACACATTTCCGGAGCCATTAGTATGCCGTAATCTCCACCATCCTTCTTTCGGCATGGATCCTTGCTGGGCAGTCTCTAGCCCCTGTCTGGTGAGACTCCGCACCTTTCTGCCCAAATTTAAAGCAAGTGGCGCACCTGTTTGTTTCCCTCACGCAGTTTTCGGCCGCATGACCCGTCACCCCGCATTTTGTGCACGTACGGGCCTCCTGCTTACACCGCCTCTCATTATGTCCGTATGTGCAGCATTTAGTGCAGCACATTGCGGTGGTAAAATCCTCCACTCGACAGACATTCCACTCAATGTACAGTCGGCCTTTTTCAACTAGAGCCTTCCTCATTGCTGGTGAGCAAGCGATCACCATCGCCGATTGGGGGGATCCTCTGCGGCTCTTCCTAAATGCCAGCCTTCCTTGCTTTAGGAAGTTCTCCAGCGTCCATTGTCCCTCCTCTGAGAAGTTTTGGCGATGTACAGTTTTCATGATATCTTCATAAGAGGGATCCTTTCCCTCCAGGTCCCTTATAACCACTAGAGGTTCCTTTCCCTTAACTTCACTGGCTCTTACAGTGACTGGTAGCGCAGCCTTCAGCTTGTTCAGATCCTCTTTCGTACGCGTTTGTACAATGACACCCGAATTTCCTACTTTCCGCACTTTATTAATGTTAATATTCAATTGGGCGGAGGCTATGGAGGTCTTCAGAGTTGCCTTCGTTTCGTCCGAGTTTTTGATCGTTGACCCTTCCGCTGGGTAGATTGCGACTACGGGCCCCGCTCGAGCACCCACCTTCAGCCTATCCGCATATGATGCGGGCCCAGCGGTATCCGCCGCCCGTGTCCTTAACGCAGCCGTAGCCGCAGCAGTGGCCGCCTCGATGGCCTTCGTCGCCGCCGACGCTGCTTCGACTCTTGCTGCCTCAGCTTCCGCATGCGCCATGCCAGCCCGTTCCTTTTCCCGCTCCAACGCACTGTTGATAGCCTCCGCTTTTGCCCTCGCACACCCTACCTCCTTCCTCCCTTCCTCAGCAACGAGCCCTAAGTGGGCCACGATCTCCATAATAGTTGATAGGTTATGGTTGATCTTCGCGAGTTCCGTTTTGTTCAGCCTTGAACTAGATCCGCCGACTATGACCGAGATGGCCCGCGATGCTGCATTCGCTCCGGCCAACAGCTGCCGTGATGTCGCCCTAGCCAGATCTGACGACTCACCTTCGATGTCCTCGGATTCCTCCTCGCTAGAGTAGGGGGTCCGGTACTCCAGCGGCGTACGCGGGTCCCCAACCTTAGCCTGCTGCCTCCGCTTAGGATGGACCACTTTGGTCCACTCATCCGGTGACAACATTCTCTTCGCCGACTCCCTCATAGCCACCGGCGTCTTCGGGGTCGACGGAGGAGGAGGAGGCGAGGGCCCCGGAGACAGGGACGCCATCACTGCGTCATAAACTGCCGAAGATATGTCTGCCGCCGACTCCATAATGGTTCGGTGTGGTGGCGGGCTCGGCGTCCTCAACGGCGCCGCCCGACCCGGTGGCGTCCTCTGCAAGGAGGACCTTGGTCTAAAGATGTTGGAAGGGGGAGGCCCCCCCTCCGAGCCACTCATCCTGATATTTCACAATTCGGTCAATGTTTCGTACCGAGCAACACCAAATTCCCCCAAATTGGGGAAAAAAATTTAAAGCTGGCAACACTTATTTCAGTGCTGCATGCACCGGAACGCAACTATCAAACGTCAAACTGTCTCTGTCACCCACTGACAGTGACAGTGACACTGACAATGTCAATGCCACACACGACAGACGTTAGCTGTCGGACGTAAAAAGTTCACGTCCTACCCACTTATTTGTACCATGCGGTCTGCGACCGCGTGGTCCTAACCTAAAAATAACCTACAAATCTATAAAACTACTCTAATTACTACGAAATTACTACACTAATTAGGCTAAAAATGTTCAGATAAGATACTAAATAGGGGGTTTGTACTTCCCTTAACCGGCGTAAGCTTCAAAGGGGGTAAAAACATCCACCACGTGCCCCGAGTTCACAACACAGTGTGAGTCACTTTCACAGTTTATTTCACTAAAACCACATAAATAACAAATAAAATAACGTCCTATCGCACTATATAGCTATCAAACATATAACACTAAGAAAAGATAGTCCTTCATGAGCTTTTCAGCGTCACTGAAAAGGACGATCAAATTTTAAAAGCGGAGCACTACAATTCGTGTGCGCACACGACGGCGGTCCGCGACGAAGTCGAAGGGACAAATCCCACCAACCACCCATGGCCTGGCGAACCTTCTTGGTTATGCAGGCCGAAGCAGAGGGAGATACGCGCGGAATGGCCTCCACCGCGCGTACTTTCTTGACTCCCTACAAATTGTTCTTTATCTGTCTCCTTTGTCCCTATGGTCCCTCTCCCCTTTCTGGGGCGGACGCACACGAAACGCCTTCGTCGCAAATTCCAGCCGTCCCGTGCCCACTATGAAGTGGTACCGCTAGCCTCCAGTATTGCTCCCTGTCTTCTTTCTTCGCCTCCCTCGAGTCCACTCCGAATCCTGTGCCATCTACGCGCGAAGTCCCGTAGCTGCCTGAAGTTCGCCTCCGATCCCACAAGGTCGCGATAGTAGACCGGCCCAACCTCGAGCACCTTCACACTATCAAGAAGTTCCCTACGCGCCTCCCGGTAGAGCTCACACTCCCACAGAGCGTGGTATGCGTCCTCTACTACTCCCTCCCCACAGTAGCACGACCCCACCTCCGCGAGCTTCATTCTGTGAAGCCTACCCCTGAAACAGCCGTGTCCCGTCAGCAGCTGCGAGGTTTCGTAGTCAGGCTCGACCCAAGTAAACTTGAGTCGGGCCTCCACTTCCGGGAAAACCCGATATAGCTCCCTCCCCTGTTCCGACGTGTCCCAACGTCTCTGCCATTCGGCATTGACGGACTCAGTAACCCTGAGTTTGGCGCTCCGAAGCTCTTCAATGGTAACCGCGGACTCGCGTGCATCACCTAGTCTGCCTGCCCGAGTTACCTCGAGGTCGGCCGGTAAGACGCCAGCCAAGACCGGCAAAGCGACAGAGCTCGTCGACCGGTACGCCTTGGTCAGAAGGATCAAGGCGGGTCTCTGGGTGCGCAAAAGCGCATTACGCACAACGTGAAGGGACGCACGCTCATACCAACATGCCGCAGCATACGTCACCGTGGCGATGTAAGTGCCTCGGTACAAAACCTTTAAGGCTTTGTACCGAACTCCCCAAGAGGCCGCCGATACTCTCGACATCTTGCCGAAGCAATTTGCCGCCCTCTCCCCTATCGACGCCGCATGCTGCGCGAACGAGAGACTCGAGTCGACCGCCACACCCAGCACAGTGGTCGACGTCACGCTCCTGACAGACGTCCCCCCGAAGCGGATGGTGGGTGGCCGCTGGAATTTTCCCCTGATCGTCATAGTTACAGACTTTGCAGGAGAGAAGTCCAGCCTATTACGGGCCCCCCACTCACCGACGAGCTGCAAAACCGTAAAGGCCGTGGCCTCTATGCTCGCCCGGGATCCGGATTCTATCAGGATCGTGATGTCGTCGGCGTACGCCACCATGCTTACCCCCCCGGGTAATGGTAGTCGAAGCAAGTCGTCCATGAGCACGTTCCAGAGCGTAGGTCCCAACACCGATCCCTGCGGGCAACCCATCGTCGCCGCCTTCCACACTACCCGATCACCCACGAACAAGCCCACGCGGCGATTGGCGAAGTAGTCCGTCAACATCCTAAAGATGTTAGGCGGACATCCCCCGCGTTTCACCTTGAGCAAGATCATGGGCCACCAAGCATTATCAAAGGCCCCAGAGATATCCAGAAATACCGCTTGAACATACTTCAACGAGCTCTCTCTAGCCACCCTAAAGATTTCCTTCAGGGCGGTTACCGTCGACCGACCCCGAGTGAACCCGTGTTGGCAGTCCGATAACCCCCTGGTAATTTGCGGTGCACACCTTAGCATTACGCGTTCCAAAATCTTACCAAAGATCGGCAACAAAGTGACGGGGCGATACGCTTTCGGGTCAGAAAGCTGCCTGTCGTTCCCTTTCGGGAGGACAATCAGCCTGCCGTCCTTCCACGTATCAGGAAATCGTCCCTCCTGGACACATCGCCTAAGCATTTCAGTAAATTCCACCGGCGCGGCTGCCCAAACGTGTTTGATAATGCGAGCGGAGACCCCATCGATACCCGGTGCAGTGTTCGGCAGGTCCTTGACTATTCCCGCGATCACGCTGTCGGTTGGAGGCGGCGCATCTCCTCCTGAGGGTGTGAACGAGGCCAGTAAGCGCACTTGCCGTGATACTCGCCGTCCTTAGACACATCGTCGTCCGGACAGAGAGCATACATAAGGCTGTGCATGGCCTCGTCCACACTCCCAGCATATCCTTCGGCAAACTTTGTGCCATTTATTACGTTACGGGGAGGCCTAGACCTCCCACTCGCGGCTCGGTAGGCCTGTCCCCAAGGGTCCAGGTTTCCGGAATCAGCGATTTTTCTAAAGTGCAAAAGTTGCGCCTCCTCCATGGCCGCCCTATACCTACGCCTATGCACATGAAAGCGTCCTCTGGCCTCCGCCTCAACCAGGCCGCCGGCCCGGCGAGTGGACTGCCAGGCTCGTCTCAACTTATTGTTGAGGTAACGCATCCGATCGAGCTCGGGCGTCCACCAATCATGCCCCGAGTCCGAATTCCTATTTTTAGCCACCCCCAGCGTCTGCTTCGCGGTGCTCAAAACAAGAGCTGCGAATTGAGCACAGACAGCTGAGGCGGGACGCTTCCACTTAATGTTACCCACCCGCCCATGGATCCGACGCTCAAAGAGAGGCCAGTCCACACCGCGATCCCTGAGTCTCGGAAGCTCTTCTAGCAGCCCAGCGCGTGGAGTGCTCGTACTTGCCAGGTCAAACGTAATGAGCCGGTGGTCGCTCTCAATTTTATCCTCCCACACTCTCCATCCCGTTGCCGGGACGCCTCTAGTTGTTAGTGTGAGGTCGATGTTAGACGATCCGTTCGCAGTGGCGAAGGTCGAGGGTTCACCCTCCCTGTTAACCAACTGCAGGCCTCGAGCCAGGATAAACGCCTCCATGGATTCACGGCGATGCGTGACGTCTGGCCCACGTCCAGTGTACTGCCGCGGTTCACAGTACCACATCGGAGAGTGCGCATTGGAATCTACCCCTATTACGACCTTCTTCCCCTTCAGGGAATCCAGGACCCTGCCCAACTGCTCCAAATGCATATTTATGTCGTCGCTGTACTGAAAGTACGCGGACATCACGTAAAATCCCTCTTCGTCGGTTACTAAATGACACACGATACAGTGCGTAGTCGACAGATGTTGCAAGAGGGCACATGGGAGGTCCCGACGACGGACATAAACGCCTGCCTTCGGTCGTGCGCCGCACTGCAGAAAACTGCTCGCGGCGTTCAAGTCGGGTCCAGGGTAATGCTCCTGAACCAGAACGACGTCTAGACCCAACTCCTCAGCGACTCTTGGTAGTTCCAATGTGGCAAGCTCTGCCCCCGCCAAGTTTATTTGGCCGACTGTATACATACTTTGTTGGAGCCATTAATAAGCCGTAATTTCCACCATCCTCCTCTCGGCGTGTACTCTTGCGGGGCAGTCCCTTGCTCCCGTCAGGTGTGTGTCAGCACCCTTTTGACCAAACCTGTGGCATGTGGCACACCTGGGTTTTTCCCGCTCGCATGCTTCAGCTACGTGTCCCGTAACACCACACTTGGTGCAGGTTTGGCCCTCCTGCTTGCACCTCTTCTCACTGTGCCCGTATGTGCAGCACTTTCCGCAGCACATTGCTGTAGTAAAATCCTCCACCCTACAGATCTCCCATCCTATATACAGTCGGCCCTTTGATACTAATGCCTTCCTCATTTCTGGGGTACAAGATATCACCATTGCTGAATGCGGTGAACCCCTCCGACTCTTCCGAAAGGCCAACCTCCCCTGCCTCTTGAAGGCTTCAAGAGTCCACTTCGCATCCGTGTCGAAGTTTTGTTTATGGACCATTGTAATGACCTCTTCGTATGATGGATCCTTCCCTTCAAGATCTCTGATCACCACAAGTGGCTCCCTGCCTTTGAGGTCGCTAGCCTTTACCGAGCTCGGCAATGCCGCCTTTATCTTGAGGATATCCTCTTTGGTTCTTGCCTGTACAACCACGCCCGCATTCCCCACCTTTCGGACTCGGTTTACATTTATGTTCAGCTGTGCGGGGGCTATGGAGGTCTTTAATGTCGCCTTCGTTTCCTCCGAATTCTTGATTGTGGAACCCTCCGCTGGGTATATCGCCACCACGGGCCCCGACGGTATGCCGGAGCGCAACTTGGTTGCATACGTAGCGGGTCCGCTCGCCTCCTCTACATTACGGCTACGTATGGCTGCTGTGGCTGCTGCCGTGGCCGCCTCAACCGCCCGTGATGCTGCCGATGCAGCCTCCGCCCGTGCCGCTTCTGCCTCAGCGCATGCTCTGGTCGCTCGCTCCTTCTCTCTTTCCCATGCAATATTTATTGCGTCCACTTTCGTTCTGGCGCAGCTGACATCCTTGCGC